CTCCATATTCACCAGATATGGCTCTGTGTGACTTTTTCCTATTCCCAAAGTTGAAGAGACCCATGAAAGGACGGCGGTTTTCCTCGATTGAAGAAAATCGCTGAGAGTGCTCAAGGACATATCAAAAAGTGAATATCAAGGGTGCTTCGAAAATTGGAAAAAACGCTGGCATAAGTGTATTATATCTGGGGGGGACTACTTTGAAGGGGACCATATTAATGTAGACGAATAAATAAATATTTTTTTGAAAAAAACGAAAATTCCGGGTACTTTTTGAACAGACCTCGTATGTTATTCATTTTTTGTTAAAAAGCTTGTTTAGTGAAAAAGTGCTAACATATATTCAAATATACAGGTAATTAATTCAACTTTGTCATTAACCTTTTCTTAAAAAATTTTCCATAACTTTCAAAAAATTTTCTATTATGTTTAATATCCTGTTCTGATAATCCACTCATTTATTTTTATTTTTATCATTTTTATCATTTTCATTTTGATCATCTTATCATATTTCTGTACATTATTATATTTTTTTGCAATTAATTTATTATTTAAGAAAAATCTATTTTCTATTCCTAAACATATTGTTTGCTTAAATCTCATCAAGATCATGTTTCTTGACAGATGTCCTGAAGATGGAACGTACCTAGTTCCGAAACGTCGACAGTAAACAAATAATTAAATAAAGAAATTGTTTATTAAAAACTTTTGTTTTTTTATTTTTTATTATTTTTGGATTCTTGTTCGAAACTCTACAAAATATAAATATTACAAGTATGAATTAGAAGTGTGGTGGTCACAAACATTTTCAGTATGTTGAATATAACTTACTTGGTACTTTTATAGCTGCATAACATATACAAGCAACACAAGTCATCTGTCTATAATATATCTGCTGTGGATAATTCGACAATGCAACAACACAATACTATATAAGGCAAATAATATACTATAAATATTACAAAGGTCTTCGTTTAAATCAAAATATCTAATGTTCTTATCAATAAAGAGGTGCTACAAATGTCAAGATCTACAACTGAATACCATATTTCATTAATTTTATGCTAATATTAGTAAATGACTCAAAATATTCAAAAGGACGATGAAATTATCTATACAAGTATGTAGTATATAAGAATTGTTTCGTATAATTTTTTTTTCATTAGCTTTGATTTTATTCATATGTATAACTAAATTTTTCATTGTGAAATTTAAAAGTATTTGAGAATATGGACAAAGAAGAAACTTTTGGCAGTATTCCGAATGATGTGATTAGATTTTATAGTACATCATGTTAGAAAAGCAATTCAATGCAAACACAAGGTGTAGTTTCAGACTTCGAGGAAAGTTAGAACATTTGGAATCCGATGACAAATTTGAATCACTAGAAAAATCAATTTATTTAGTTTCAGAGCAAATCTGTTTGTTTCCAATATAGAGACTGTGTACAGTCTAATAATTTTGATTAAATTGCGAAAATTATAAAAAGTTATGATGCAACTTAAAGGAATTGAATTATTTTTATCAGTATGATTAATTTTGTTAAAAATTCATAAATCAATAATACATATAATGAGCTTTTGTGCTTCTCGTAAAATAAAACCTGTGCAAGGTGTAACTGTTTATTGAAATTACAAATGCATAATGAATTCTTTATTTGCACAATTGAGTAGAGTTAATATTATTTTAAATATTGAAGAATCAAATGAATACAATTTGCAATTTCATAATTTCATATTCGTTTGTCTTGCATATTTGAAATGACGACTCAAGATTGATTTGTAAGTTTTTAATATAATTTAACATTCAATAATGATAATAATGTTTCTTCATCTATTAAAATTCATTACATACTCGGTAAATTCGTCACATAATTTTTTAAATAAAAGTGAATATACGAAAAGAAAATTACAGTGTGATTAACATATATTAATCTCACACAATTATTTTTAAACAGTCGTAAACAGCAACTCGATTTACTTCAAAATCAATATTAAATATGCAAAAAAAAAAAAGCCAAAATGATCGATAGGAGAAATAGACACCATCCATATATTATATAATTTAGCAATTTTGAATTGCTAGCAAATTATTTTGATATGATTTGTTCTACATTGTACATATTTAACAATTAAATTAAATAATGCCCACATGTGAATGTAACTTGATTATTTCAAATCACTAATTCAAAAGTTTGCCATTCATTCAATAAATGATTGAATTTAATTTGAATTAAAATATCTGTTAGCTACAGTTATAATTGTAGAGTATATTTGGGTACATTGATTTTTTTATATTTGTATCTAACTTGAATTCTGTATAAACAACATTCACTATTATAACGTACAATATTCAAAGTAATATATTTTTATATGTGAATGGCAAACATTATCTCATAAAAACTTAATAAGCTGAAAATTGAATGTAAGGAGGTTTTGTAGAGGTATAATAGATAATGCAATATATCACAATGTACTATCGAAGTGAAACTTCTTAGGCGACTTTGAACAAGGTTGCTTTCAATGTTCAATGGGTTCAATGCAAAGTGAGCTAATGTTTTAATAATGATTGTTTTAGAATGCCATAGATTAGGAATGTTGATGATTGTTTCAGATTTTTTTAGAATGTAAAATGTTTTTCGAATGTTATGGATTATTTCATAATTTTTAGAATATTTATTAGAACATTGTAGACTATCTGAAAGTGTTGCATACTCTTTGAAGGTCTTGCAGACTGCCCAAAGGCATTGCAATCTCATTTTCACAATACGAAGTTTCACTTCTTTTGCAGAGTATCACTTCTATTATTTTTATTGTTTTTTTTTTTTAACTTCCCGTAGGGTAAGTTATAGTAATCGTCCAAAAATCGAAATCAAAAATTTTTACATTTCTCGACGTTTTGAAGGTTTCTGAACATTTTGGCATACTTCAGAAAAAATGGATGTGTGTGTGTGTGTGTGTGTGTGTGTGTGTTTTGTATGTCCGCTTTTTTTCGTCCACGTTTTCGGGCACACGGATCAACCGATTTGAATGGTTTAAAAAACATTCGATTCCTATTGATAGGGAGATGTGCTGATTAGTTTTTGGCAAAGGCAGGTCCAGCCGTTACGGAGATATGGAGCAAAAAGTGCAGAAAATAGAAAGCGAGTTTTTGAGGGAACGGATCAACCGATTTGAATAGTTTAAAAAACATTCGATTCCTATTGATAGGGAGATGTGCTGGTTAGTTTTTGGTAAAGGTAGGCCCAGCGGTTCCGGAAATACAGAGCTAAATGTTAAAAAAATGGCAGTTTTTGAGAGAACTAAGTGTCCGATTTAAATTACTTAAAGAACTTTCTGCTTGTTTCAACAAAATAATTGATTTTGGAAAAAAAAATTTTTTGTTTCTAATTTTTTTTTCAAAAATTTTTTTTTGTAATTTTGGATTAAAAATTCAAAAAATCACCCAAGCTAAGCACAGTCTAAGCGCCACTCTGGTACAAATGTTTACCCAAGTGCGTTTAGACTGTTTATGTACTGGGGCACTTTTTCAATTTTGTGAAAATTATTGAAAAATGTGAAAATGCCGCCAAGCTAAGCACAGTATAAGTGAAAATGTCGCACAGAATTATTTGCAAATGCGTTTAGACTGTGACTATGCGGGAGCACTTTTTCAATTTTGTGGAAATTTGGCAACTATTTTTTTTTTTGAAATTTGATTCAAAATGAAATGACGATTGTTAATGTTCTGGAGATGATAAATTAATTTACGGGAAGTTAAAAAAAAAAAGTGAATTGGAGTAAACAATAAATTATACTTCTAATTGGACCTCCAGAAGTTAAACGTTTGGAGTTACCATAGATAAATATTAAAAAAAAAAATGTTTCCAGAATTTAGTAAATATGAATATAAATCAAGTTCTTCAATTCTGAAAAATCGAAAATAAATTTTTTTGCATTTTTCGACGTTTTGAAGGTTTCTGAATTTTGATGTGTGTGTAGGTGTGTGTGTGTGTTTTGTATGTCCGTATTATTTCGTCCACGTTTTCGGGCGCACGGATCAACCGATTTGAATGGTTTAAAAACATTCGATCCCTATTAATAGGGAGATGTGCTGATTAGTTTTTGGCAAAGGCAGGTCCAGCCGTTACGGAGATACGGAGCAAAGAGTGCAGAAAATAGAAATCGAGTTTTTGAGAGAACGGAGTATCAGATTTGAATGATCTAAAAAACATTCAATTTGTAATTATTGGGAAAAGAGGTGATTAGTTTTTGGCAAAGACAGGTCCCGCCATTTCGGAGACACAGAGCTAAATGTGCAAAAAATGACAGTTTTTGAGTGAATTAAGAAGCGTCCGATTTGAACGATCTAAAAAACTTTCTGCTTGTATTGACAAAACAATTGCTTTTGAAGATAAACAAATATTATTACATCTTGTTTTATTTTTCATAAAATATTTTTGTAATTTTGGATTATAAATTGAAAAAATTACCCAGTCTAAGCGCCACTCTGGTACAAATGTTTACCCAAGTGCGTTTAGAGACTAAACTAAACGAAACTAAAACTAAACGACTAAACGAAAACTATTGAAAAATGTGAAAATGCCGCCAAGCTAAGCACAGTATAAGTGAAAATGTCGCACAGAATTATTTGCAAATGCACAGAAGAATGTGACTATACGGGAGCACTTTTTCAATTTTGTGCCAATTAGGCAACAATTTTTTTGAAATTGAATTCGAAATGAAATGACGATTGTTAATGTTCTGGAGATAAATTGATTTATGATTTACATTTGATCTGCTCAGATATAACAAGATAGCAAAAATAATGAAAGTTACAGTATTTGTAATAATTAAATATTTGAAAACGTTTAAAATTTCTCGAATATTTCATTACGGTACGGAAAGTTCGAGCAATTTGCCTAAAGGCACGATGCCATGCACCACTATAGTTCGTTTCATAAATTACACACATTACACAGAATAAATACCTTTAGCTGCACAAATCCTTCGATAGTTTTATTAAGCACATCGCCAGCACATGAACTCTTCATCTGCACATAAATTTTCTTCAAAGTCAGGAACATGGTCAGGGTGCAATTTGTCCTGTTGAGGCTGCACATTGTGGCGACCATTTTCTTTATGATATCTCCATAGCATTTTTCACACAACACTTATACACAATATACTAATAAGTATGGTAAGGAAAATGCATGAAGCGGTGATGTGAATAATAAACAAAAAGAAGGAAAGGGGAATCATTGATTTGTGGTGCTCTCAGGCCATGGACCTGCCTTCAGGCAAACTACTATTTAATAGTATTACATTGTTTCAACTAATTATCCTAGGTCCTCGTAATACATCCACTGTTTTGTTCATAAAGCTACTAAATCCATGGTCAGGTAAGGTAGTCCTTTAGGTTTGGGAATAGAATATTTCACATGGCAAGATCTTTAATCTCTTGGACCTTAATAGTATTCTTCTGAATTTTTAAGCTTTTCTTTCAGAAAGATTTCAGAAGGATTCGATGGGTAATTATTACGATGTTAGCCAGTCAGTAAATTACAAAATGGAATAGAAAGAAGTTTCAATATGCAATGTACAACTGTTATAACCTTACCTTCACACAATACTTTAAAACAAAGTATGCGCTAGTAACTGGTATGATATTAAATTCAACAAGTTTACAAAAACGCTCCAAGACTTCATGACGTTTGCTTATTTGAATCTCGTCTTCTTCGTGTCTTCCTACAATGAAATAATTAAAAACGATAACATAATTAATTACAAAAGTCTTCTAGTAAAGTCATATTAATTTTTTCTTTTACACAAACTGTGCTATGCATATAAACAAAAGTCTAAACATAAATGTGATTGTTGAGTTGTGTTAGATGCATCTTTGAGTGAAAAATTCCATTTGGCATCTCAATTTATAATGGAAGCTTAAAAGTGTATCAACATGCATCACAACAGATATCAAACAAGCAACTATTAAAATATGTTCAAAAACTTTCCCAGTAAATAAATATATTACAAATCTTCAAACAATTTACAAAATCTTCAGCTGATTATATGAAAATTTTGTAAATTGTCTGAAAATGCTGTGGATATTCAGACAATTTTCGCTCTGTGTCTCTTTCTATTCCACATTTTGTTGGCACTTGCATTAGAAGTTCCACTTCAATAAGGAATATTTAAATTAATTTTATTCTAATTATTACCTGTCCAATCTTTTGTGAAAACATACTCTTCTGCATTCTTTTTTATTAGCGTTATGTCATCCGAGCTGAGTTTTAATACTAAGTCGTGTATTATTGGGTTTTGATGGTCGGCCAGTTCTCGGTTGAAATTCGCGGCTAATGAACATATTGCAATCAAGGCCTAAAATGTTAGAAATTGATTTATTAAAAGTACAAAAAATATTTCAGCAACTTCGATAAAAGCAAAATAGGTTGTAATTGTTCAAAAATCGCGAGTGCTTGCCATGTCGTCCAAACCTAACATGACGCTTTCCCATACATTTTTGATTAGGCTTGGATTGGACATAGTAAGCGTTACTTCAATCAATATTTTTACTAGAAATGGTTAAAATTATGAACAAAATAAAAATCATTTGGTATGAATTAGCCCAATCTACTATTTATGAACCTCATTGATAATACAATTTAATAAGGATACTATTTTTGGCGGACAACCCCGGAGCACCGATTATTCGATTTGAATTACTCAAAAAGCATTCGATTCCCATTGATGAACAGACTGATAGAGGTAAATTGGTTTTCAAGTAGATTTGTAGGTAAGCAGGTGGATACATAGACAGGCAATCAGATGGACAAGTAGACGTGTGAATTGAAGAGTTGTGAGGTTAACAGGTTAACAGGTTAACAGGTTAACAGGTTGGACAGTAAACAGGCAGCAAGGTAAAACTGTTGACAAGTAGAAGGTTGAAGAAGTTGGAGACAGGTGGACAGGTAGACAAGTAGTTCATGTACGAGTATAGTTTAAAACAATAGTAAAATTTGCCTTACAATTAGTATTACTTTAAAATTTTGATTTTTTCAAATCAACTTACAGCTTGTTGCAGATCATCATGAGTGACATTTTTTACGATGTCCTTGCAGATTTCAATATATTCTTTCAATTTTAACTTTAATACATCGGCTCGTTTCATACAAACCACAGCATTGAGTACCATATTATTCAGATCCATATATTTTATATCCATTAATTCCCAAGATAAATATGTACCGTAGGAAAGTAGGCAGTATATCGAACCCTAAAAGATATTTTGATAGGAGTATGAATTAGTTAAATTAGTTATGTTTAATCTTTGATCTAATTAACAAACCTCGATAGGAAGATTTCTTTCAATGACACCATTTCTAAACACTTTAAATTCTTCTAAAAGTATGTAAAACGTTATGTAAATAGTGGAAAATGTATATTTTTTTTTAGAGAATTTACAATCCGAAGAAAATCTTCTTTCTTAGCACATTTTGAATCCATTTGCTAGAAAGAAAAATTCTTTCTGATCAAGAGATGAATTGTTTGACAACTTTCTACACATAACAAAAATGTAATTCGTACCCCATTCACAATACTTAGCCATACAAGATATGGCTCCATATATACAAATGCGCATTCGTCGACAATGGTCGATATGGCGGCACCGCAATCTGCAACAATACTTCTTGCCCTTTTATAAAGGCAATGCAAAGTCTTGCTGCAGTTGTCTAACACTATTGTGTCGGTAGACACCTGGGCGATGTTTTGCAGAGCGCCTAATAAGTTCCTTAAATTCCGTAAACATAAAACACTAGATTAAAACTACTAAGTATATGTTAAAAAGTTAGAAAAACTACAACAAATGCAAGATGCATCAACATTCCCATATGCAATTAAAATTTCTGCTTAAAATATATACTCCTGTTGGTGGTAATTCAAGCACAAAGACAAAGACCACGTTTGCTAAGTAATCCTTATAGGTATTCATAGGTACAAAAATTAAAATACTAACCAGATCTTCCATCTCGCTTGTATTTTCGAAGTCAAAATATTGAGGTATTCTGATCAAATGAATAATACAATTGACATTGGTTTTGAAGCGAGCCAACAGAATTGCTATCACAGGCATTAGATGTTTTGTGATATTTAATTTTTCTTCCTTCATTTGTTTTCTTTGTTTTAAACTTGGGACGTGTAAATATGAAAACTAATGAAATTTAGAAATAAAAAATAATGTTTAAACATATAATCAACACACTAGAAGAAGAAACAACTGGATAGTTTTACCCATTTGCATGTACTGACATTAAAACCAGGGCAGGGTACTTTTACTTGATCGGTTTAGATTTAGTTAATGTTGTCTTATAAATATTAGACGACAATGTTACAATATTAATAATAATCTATTTGAAAACATTCAGTATTTTTCGAACATTTCGTTATGATACGGGAAGTTCCAGCAATTTGCCTTAAGGTACGATGTCATAATTGCCTCAAGACAGAATTCCACTTACAGCTAGTTTTATTTTTGTTTCAAATATCAACAAAATTTAAAATAATAAATCGATAAATGTATATGTTATAAAATACCTTTTAAAATTCTTCATAATATGCCATAAGTATTTTCATAAGTTCCTGAAGGAGTTTAATTAAATTTTAATACTTTACTCAAATTAGGATTTCAGCGTTACTGGTGTTAGGTCTTTTTTTTAGGTTTTTTTAAAATATCAACAAAATTTACAATAATAAATTAATAAATGTATATGTCATAAAATACCTTATAAAATTCTTTATTATATGCTATAAATATTTTCATAAGTCCTTGAACAAATTTAATTAAATTTTAATACTTTAAACTCAAATTACGATTTCAGCATTATTGGTGTTAGAACATGTTTTTAAGACGTCCTTGTGCCTAATTTCGAATAATTTTTTATAATTTTTTATCTTATACTTTGAGGCGGCCGTACTCTCAAACTTTCAATTTTACAAAAAAAACGGTTTTCTAAGGAATTGTAGGAAATTTTATCTAGTTTAATTCGTACATAGATACTTTTATCGTAGAATCAGCCAAAAAAAAGATATTTTAAAAAAGTTGTTGTTTGACGCTGTTTTTTCAATATGGCGGCAACTTGCCGTTCAAATTTGAGGTGGCAAAGTTGATTTTCGTAAAGAGCACCTCGAAATCTACAAGATTACCAATTTTCATAATTCCCGGAGTACTGTACCGGCAACAGCCTTTTTTTGCACCAAATGACTGGACTACAGTTCTCGATTGAAATTTGCGGCTAATGAACCTATTGCAATCAAGGCCTAAAATGTTAGAAATTAATTTATTAAAAGTACAAAAAATATTTCAGCAACTTCGATAAAACCAAAATAGGTTGTAATTGTTAAAAAAAATCGCGAGTGCTTGCCATGTCGTCCAAACCTAACATGACGCTTTCCCATACATTTTTGATTAGGCTTGGATTGGACATAGTAAGCGTTACTTCAATCAATATTTTTACTAGAAATAGTTAAAATTATGAACAAAATAAAGATCATAGCCCAATCTACTATTTATGAACCTTATTGATAATAAAATTTAACTAGTTGGTTTGGTATTTAGCCTTGAGGCAAGTTACATGAACTTCCCGAAATGTGTAAATAATCGACTTAATCAAAAAAATGTGTAAATAATATACTTCATTAATCCTACTTTAAAAAAAACGATAATAATTTTAGCAAACTTTGACGAATTTTTAAAATTAAACTACTTGTCGTTAGGCCGTAATATTACAGTAAGTTCTATAAGACCATGATGTATATCGCCAAAAAAAATTCCATGAAAATCAGTTAATTACAAGAAAACGGCTCGGTAGATTTTCACCTAAAATTAATCAGTACCATTCCCAACTAATATCTTTCGAACAGTTTTTGATTTTTTAAAATCGTTCGGTAGGATGAGCTTAAATGTGGATGAAAAGTTTTTTTCAAATTACAAAGAAACGGCTTGGCAGATCGTTGCACAAAACTGACAAACGATAGTCCTCACCGAAATACATCAAATGGCTTTTAAATTTTTAAAATCGGTTCAGACGTTTTTGAGAAAACGTCGATCAAAAGTCTAATTTTGACAAATGCCAAAAAGACCATACTGATTTTTGCAAACTTTGACGAATTTTTAAAGCTGAACCAGTTGTCGTAGGGCCGTAATATTTTAGTATGATCTAGAAGACTATGGTATCTATCGTCAAAAAAATAATCATAAAAATCGTCGATTTTTTTTTTTTTTTAAACTTTATTACAAGAAAACGGCCCGGCCGATCTCTACCAAAAACTAATCAGCACGATTCCCAACCAATATCTTTCGAACGGTTTTTGAATTTTCAAAATCGATTCAGAATTGCGGGCTAAAACGTAGACGAAAATTTTTTCACTTTTCTGCCATTTATGAAGAAACGGCTTGGCCGATCGTCGCACAAAACTGACAAACAATAGTTCTCGTTGAGATACATCGAATGGCTTTTAAATTTTTGAAATCGGTCCAGCCGTTTTCGAGAAAACGTCGATTTACGGCAAAAAATCTGTTCACATACACACACACACACACACACATACTTTTTCCAAATTTGGTCTCATTCGATTCAGAATGGCTTGAAACGTCGAGAAAACATAAAATTAGCGAATCGGGTTTTTTGATGAAAACATAAACTTCTCCTTCGGGAAGTTAAAAAGAATAAAAGTAACAATAAAAATGATAATCACAAAGTAGTAAATTATAAATCCATGAAAGAGCTAAATATCCTAGGTATTGAAATACCTAAACTATGGCCAGATACTATATTGTCGTAATTATAAACTAACATATACCACAAGTTTAAAAATGTTTGTTTTTTTATTAAGAATTATTTAAAAAGTTGATCGATTCTCAAAATAAAACAATTGAAAAAAGTTATTCATGTACTCTTATTTGAAAACAGCATGCCGCAACCACGTATGTTACATTTTTTTCCGTGCGACAAACACGTATCTGAAAGAATTGAAGAAAAAATAATAAATAATTGTTACAAGATTGAATATTTTTAAAATTTATAAAAAAATTGTTAACAGCAGTTCAAAAATTCGTTATAAAACGTTTTTTGTCTCTCCTGAAAAGTATAATAGTAGTTTCTGAGATACGAGGTTGCGTCAGAAAAGCATCGATATGCGCATCACATTATTAGATATTTTATAGAGATTTTAATAATAAGTATGGAGCGATATTGCATTGAAAAAAAAGTTAAAAAAGTTAAAAAATTCCAAATTATTTCTAAATATAATTCAAATAAGTCAATTTACTCAAAAATTTAATATTCACAAAAATCAATCTTTTTTGAAAAATTGAATTTTTGGTACGGGAAGTTCCAGCAATTTGTCTTAAATGCCGTACACCAATAGGTGGTTTATTCGCTTCAAAAACAGTCGTATATGTGACCCTCCCACACTAGGAAAATGACATAGCTGGCGGGTGTTGCTCAAGAGCTAAGGTAATTAGGGGCTAACACTATAGTTTTATACTTCAAAAATTTCATTAAACTTATACTATTTAAACAGAAACCAATTAACTCTTATTTTTTACTTATATTACACATTTGATGACGTTTAAAAGCTGCATATTATAAAAAATATGAATTTTTCAACTTTTCAAACGGCAATATCTCAGAAACGGTGATACTAACAAAAAAATTAATAATAACAATTTCATAGAGAATTTTATAATAAATAAACTCATCTAACATAAAAAAAATTATGGTTTCGGCGGAAAATGGGAAAAACTAGATTTTTGCACCTTTGACCTTGAATAAAAAAAATCGCAGATGTCGGATCGTTGGGGACTTTTGACATTTCATTTGTAATGGCCTATTTAACATCTGTACCAAATTTCAGCTCTATGCGAATTGTTCCTAACTGAAAACTTAATTTGACTGGGCTATAATCAATGCTAGTCCTTACCAAATTACATACAATGGCATTTGAAGTTATGAAATCAGTTCAATCGTTTTTGTGAAAACGTCAACAGAAGATCCAAAAAAACGCTAACATTACACACGCATAATTTTCGCACAAATGCTTTGTATGTATGGTTTCGAAGCGACAACCATGGTGAACTAAAATAATTTTCAATTCAAAAACCATTATTTTCATTCATCATTACTAGATCCAGTTTTAAATAACAAAAAAATAATACGTAAAGCTTTTTTCTTTTACTGACTATTACTTACTTATCGCTGATTTTTCGCTGTTGTATATGGATAGTGAATATTGCATGACTTCTACTGGATTGACTGTTCATTGCAGTTGCACCTACAGCTCTGCGACGATATCCTCTAACTAAACAATCTAATGTATCTTTTGCATTACGTACTTCAATTTCGGTTAATCCAGGAATTACAATTCTTTTTTGTTGATCTTCTCTGATATCAACTATACTTTGATCTCTATTTGATTTTGATAAAAGATCAAATAATTGTTCTTGATATAATTCCATAAATGATACCTGTAGAACATGAGAAAATACTTTACTGAAGAAATGACTTACTGTTATTATTATGTTTACAATTTCATAAACTATTATGATTTCTAAAAGCAAATTATATTAAATAGCAATCCATATACTCCTAAGGAGTGCAGAACAATTATATTCAACCAAACATATAGAAGTACAAACACAATGCAAAGATTTTGAAAATCTGACATGTTTAATTTCTGACCATTTATGGGTATTCAAATAAACTCTAATTACAGTGTAAAAAGGTTATGGCTTTTAAATTTTAATTCTCATTTAAACCTCATATGCTCCTTAACAATACACTTTAAATTTATTGCTTTAATATTTGGAAAGTAGTTTATATTGATCTAACTTGTAATTGAAAATTATATTGCTCCGTCAGAGTTGAAATTTTTTGAAAAATGTCTTTTACTGCTCTTGGTATAACACCCATCTCCTCGACTGGTCCAACTGAATAAGCCATGCCCATGGAATGAGTTTTTCCGGAGCCAGTCTGACCATAAGCTAATATTGTCACATTGTAGCCTAAAATATATTTTAGATTGAACAAAATAATAAATAATAAAGTAAAGATACTGAAGATAAAAATAGAATTTGGGATTATAGATGAGAGATAAATTCACCTACACCAAAGTTATGTTATGTCAAAATTAAATTCTAGTAGAAATAAATTACCCTTAAACAATCCATCAACTACATCAACCCTTAACAGCAGTGTCATAAAATTCAGCTTGCGAAACTTCTGGTGGAAATGCATGGTTGTAAGTAAAAGAAAGATTTTTTATTAAAACTTGAGGTTTATTCGGCAGTGTTTCGAGGCATTTAACATATCTTTTAGAAATTTCGGATTTGACTAAAGGCCTTATCCTTAAAGCCACCTGTACACTAACAGCAGAATCAAATTTTTTCAAAAATCGTTTAAGCAGGTGTAGATCTTATATGAGATATTCTATTTTATTTATGAAGAAAATAATATAGTAAATAATATACTTCATCAATCCTACTTTAAAAAACGATAATAATTTATATCCATATACTCTCCTAAGGAGTGCAGAACAATTATATTCAACCAAACATATAGAAGTACAACACAATGCAAAGATTTTGAAAATCTGACATGTTTAATTTCTGACCATTTATGGGTATTCAAAAAACTCTAATTACAGTGTAAAAAGGTTATGGCTTTTAAATT